TATACTTCCATAAACACTACAAATAGGTTATATAAAATGGCTAGCTTAAGTGAAAGACGTGGAACTAATTGTACCGATGCTGAATGGGATGAAATTCTGGAGATGAGTATTGTTTCATTGAATGAGACTCCTACTGATTGGATGGAACGGATTTGGGAACGTCTTACATATTTTAGAGAAAATAATCTCTTACCTTATAATAGTAAAAAATATCTTGAAGCCAGAAAATTAATAACATATTGGTCTGAGGTTAATGGATTTTATAAAAGCTATGCGCCTGAAATTGGTATTGCTATCTGCTTTTCTTGTAATCAATTAGTATATACTGGAAAACGAACCAAAAATACAGGCAATTACAACCATATAGGAATGGAGAGACATTGGGCTTTTCATTGTACTGGAAATTCCTTTTGTGGTGTAAATTATGATGAATATTTACTGAAAATCGAACAAAAATCTATTTCGGGATATATTTATGATAATGAGTATGCATTACACCGTTATGAATTGTGGATGCAAAACGCCGTTAGAAGAATTAAGCGTGCAAGAGAAATCGGTAGAAAAATTCGAGCATGTAGAATTATACAGAGAAAATGGTTAGAAATTTTTTTCAGACCTGAAGGTATGTGTGCTACCGAATTAGCATTACATTATCAGTTATTATGGGCGGTTCGTGAAGAAATGCGACAAATTAACAATGTATAGCTTAATTTATTATAACATATCATTTATTTGATTTAATCTATTTATTAATGTATAACTTATTCATATATATTTAAAATAAAATCACCTAAGGTATTCCTGAGGGGCTAGTACTTTAGACTTTATTTCGATACCCCTGGAGGGCTGGTATCTTTTTTTGTACCAGATTCCCATGTAAACTGAAAATAGTTACTTTATTAGATTTTGCAACATCTAGGTTTCATGTCATCAAACTAATTTGGCTAAGTTCATAGAACATCTACATCGTGCAATATGGTCAGTTGATGTCTTGTGCGACTATATGCAGGGAACCCTAAAATTGGATTAACCGCACATGGTTTAGATTCTTAAAAGATTATATATATATATATATTCCATAAATCATTATTTTTTCACTTTGCTTACACCCCATCAATGACTGGGCACAAAAGTCAGACTTTCAGGCGTGTGTATTCAGACTCCGACACGTAGTAATCGTGATCATCATCACCAATGATTTGACTTCCTTCCAAAATGTAACAATCATGATCATTGTCCACAAGTGTTGATGATCGACTTTGGGGTACACTTTTGGAAATCGATCATCAGGTTAAGAAAGGGCTTGATATTTTATCTCAGCAATTGCTCAGGAGACGTTTGGAAAATTCATGCTAGATTATCACTAGGGATTAATGGTATTTTTTTGTTCTGTATTTTTCGAATTCCTGGAATTTTGAGAATTATTTATTTCGTAATAATACTATACCACTCATGGGAAATCCTCCTTTCAATCCATATTATTTGGGTAAACTTACTGAACTTTGCCCATCGATACAATGGAATATATGGAAAAGCCTCACAACAGGGAAATACCCTATTACTATAGAACAAGCTAGTGGTATTTATCCAGAAATAGAAAAAAAGATTGATCGTGAAATTCTGAATTATAAGAATAGAAAACAACGACAGCGTCGGAAACCCTTACTTGAAAATTTATCATATATATATAACATAGATATGAACAATAAGGAAACTCAGACCCAGGCACAAAGTGCCATTTCTCCCAAAATAAATATTACTCCAATTTGTATGCGTGATCATGAGGAAGAGATTAATCGTCGGGTCAAAAAAGGGCTTAATATTTTTCATCAGCAATTGCTTAAATATAATGTAGATACATTTGGAAAATTCATGCAAGGCGTCACTAGAGATTATGAGGAACAGGTTAATGCAAATAAGAAATTGCGATTTGAGATTGAGAAAATGAAGTTGCAACTGCAGGAGGCGGAAGATACGTTATTTAAGCTTAGCGGAGCTAGTTTCACTAAAAATTCTCGATAATAATGTATAGCGAAGCCAGTGTTGAGACACATATCTTTATTATGCGGTCAATAACTTGATCTCTTTTTCCAGATCTAGAGGATTCATCCATCTGACTCTGATGGACATAGGATCAGAGATTGGTACAGTGGTGTCGAAGACAATGAATTCACGATTTCGCAAATAGTTATTGATAACTCTAGAAGCTTTGCGTGGATCTTCTTCTATATATTGACGAATAATTTGTTGAATGTCATCTTTTGAACCTTCACCATCAAATATTACAAGATGGGTTGAATTTTCACAAAGGATTTTTGGCATTTGAGTGAATTTATGTGAAATATATATTGCGGAAATATTGCTATGGCGACCTCTGGTAAAAAATGGAATGATACGATTTTGAATCGACTGGGGTTCAGTACACACATCCTCAAAAATATATACTGTACGTCTTTTTGAATTTTTGTACTGTTTCAGATCTGGGATTTTATCAGGGGTAATTGCAGTAAATGTAACGTCCTCATAGTACGGCTTGGAACGATCTGCTATTTTCTTATAGAAGTTTCGAAGTAATCGGTATTTTGGTTCATTGGGATGGCGAGTTACTAATACAATATCATTGCAACGTATATGACGCTCGCCAATTTTCTCTGATTTTTCTTTGAGATCATAGTATTTATCTCCGGAAAATAGATCTACCCCCATATTGGTTTTACCAGTGTTTGATCTTCCAAAAACCCCCATATAGAATGGCCACTTTGGGGCATCTTCATCGTCTAAAGATTTTTTTGGTGGTTTAACTTCATCGATATGATATATATAATAGTATTTCATTCTGATATCAATTCAACTATATCTTTACGAATTTTTTTTTCTTTCTAATATACATAACTATAGACATGTTGAATCTTGCAGAAGCTCAAATTTACGCCGAAAAACACGGAGGAAAAGTTCACATCCAAACTGGTCCTACAACTTTCTTATTTTCATGCAATAGAAATCACTTATGGGAAAGACCAATCGAAGTTATTACAAAGAGATATGACTGGTGCCCCCTATGTCATCATTCGAAAGGAGAACGTACATCAAGGTATATATTCGAAGATCTGTTAGGAAAAGAATTTCTACCATCCCGACCTAAGTTCTTAGAAGGATTACATCTCGATGGTTATAATAAGGAATTGCAACTAGCATTTGAGTTTCATGGCCAGCAACATTTCCAGGTTGTTCCGAAGCATTTTCACCCGAATGGCAAGGCTGATTTGGCAAGTCAGCAACTACGTGATCAAAAAAAGCGGGATATATGTAAGCAAGAAGGTATATGCCTCATCGAAATACCATATTTCGCAGATATCGAATCTTTTATAAGAGAAGCTTTAACCAAGAACGGCTATCTCCAAGACCGTCCCAATTGATAATGGTGTATTTCGAAAATGCTCTGGTTTTGAAGTCACATGGTTAACGGTTTGGTAATGATATTTTTGGATAAATTCATCTGGCGGATATTCAAGATTTTCCATATCTATGATTTGCAATTCTTCCCTCTTGAATGGTCTACGTGGATTTCTACCCATTAAATGTCTTGTAGATTCAACCGCTTCCTTCTCTAAATAATATAAGACTGGCTGTGGAGGATTCTTTCCAACAATGATTCTTCTGATTCGATAAACACGTAAACTCCAGTATGGATCAGTTGCTCAGTGTGTATGTCAGCACGTAAGTATAGAAGAAATTAGTTTATATGGTATTTTTTTTGGTATTTATATATATTTTTTTAGTTCTGAACACCAAAGCGTTGCAAGCGCAAATAAGAGAGGCGAAGGGAAATCAGGAAGATGACCTGACATTATGTTTGTAGAGAAACATATTGGAAAATATTACGAGCTCATGTATACACAGAATGTTCGCGTTTATTTTGCACAATTAAAAAAAAGAATGATGATATTGTGAAGTTGTGGCGGGAAACAAATGATGGGATGTATTGGGTTCGTAAAAACATTAGGCCTAATAAGAACGAATTTGGGATTGTTGGAATACAAGTAATGCTCTTGTTCGAGATATGGATGATGTAGATAGATATTTTCATTTATGTGAATGTGAAATTCCTGTGCAACAATCGGATCCTACAATTGTGGCAAGATTTGTGAAGACTTTGTTGAATATGCGGAACATTTTAATTGTTAATATGTCTTTGTTGATTAATTCATCTATACGTAGATCGGACAGGTATATAGAAGACAATTCTACGATATCTACCCCATATGTTTGGTTTATATTTATTTCTCTCATACTTTGATTTTTGATTTTTCATTAATAAAGCTATACATATAAATATCCGAAAAAATAAGCCAATTAATTGTTGCACATATTGAGAATATTTCGAATCGAGATTATTTACCTCTAAATACCTACATACCTCTCCATAATCAAATATCGCCTTTACGTCTTCCGTATTCCTATTTATGATTATGATAATTATAAAATTTTCGTCAATTCTATGCATATATTTATCCCGGTTTTTAAATTGCATATACTGCTTAGGATTATCAGTGAATCTTCCCGAGTTTTGCGTCTGTCATTTCTAGATTTGCGAGAGATATTAATATCTTATGTATAATGACGTATTATATCAAAGTATTGAGACACATTCAATTTTTTTCTTGCTAATTTGATCGGTGTGAACAATTGCTCACGCAGACATGATTTTGATGAAAATAAGCACGGACGTCCACATAATTCTGATCGAGACAACGGTTACATAGAACCTTACTTTATTGATATATAAAAAATGTTACCGAAATAACAACATAAAAATAAAATAAAAAATCATATCGCAGTTACATACTGCTGACGTAAATAAAATACATATCCACTATTACTAATGGGCGGGGTTGGGTATTTACTCGTACAATAATATGAATTTTTTCATTGGGAGGTTGTCTATTAAAATGCTTAGAAATTAATTCATATGGATATATTGGCCTACCAACGTCATTCCCATCTTGATACGCTGTAATTTGCTGGTGGATGTTATAATTAGATCTAAATTAATCTTATGAAGAACAAATTCGTAAGGAATAATATTGGGGATTGCTATTTCTCACCGGTGGTGATTGTCGCCGAAATACTAATATTTAATTAAAAAAAATTTTTTTGAAGTATATCTCTATTATAATTATTACTAGTTGTAGCCCCGTCGCTTTGCTGACGGGTTACAACTATCAGCTGATTTGTTTTTGTCTTCTTATAATATATACATATATAATACCATGTGACCTGATCCAAAGGCCAACCACTCCACCCCTCTAAAATCAACTAATTTCTGACACACATTTATTTAGTTATTATACTAATCAATGAGCAGAACACGGGTTTTTATTCTGTTGCATTTATAGTATATACATAACAGATTATTATTACACAATTACACAATTTAAAAATTAGAGATAACGAAGTTATCTCAGACTGAAAAATTCTAATTATTATATTTAAAAATTATTACGCATCACAACATATTTATTTACGTGCTTGTGGTAGTCTAAACGTAACCCAACGATACAATAATAGATAGATTGCATGTGTTAGTCTAAAACGTTACGCATCACAACATATTTATTTGCGTCTAAACGTAACTCAACGATACAATAATAGGTAAATTGTGATACACGCTTGCATTATTGCACAATTCAAAAATCATTATTTATGCGTAGCAGCCTAAACGTTATGTTTATTTATACGCGTGCTATTCTAAACCTTAGGTTTATTTGCCATTCTAAACGTTACGCTCACGTGAACCCAACGTTTTAATATATAGCTAATTGTATTTTTTAAATATTGAATCACTTTTTCTAAACTATTTAATGCCTCTTTATGAGAAATAACCATCATCAGAATCATCAACCTCAAGATTTGGTTCCTAATAATTTCTTCATCAGTAAAAAAAAAGGGATAGCATACAAACATTAATACTTTATTGCAACCATCAAAAAAGGATAATGCACAAATAATTTTTACACATTGCATTTAGAAACCACATCAACATTAATCATTAATGTAAAAGATTGCCACAATTTCCACTATAACAATCACAATTCATAAGGTATTGGGAACAGGAGGGAACGTACTGGGAACACAAAATTAACAGGAGGGAACACAAAAATTTAACCCATGCAATTTTGTGATTG